ACCCATAAACATCGTCGACGTATGCTAGCCCTAGTATGCTTGCACTCGTCGACCCGTGACCAAACTAATGACAGGCCTACAGCAGCAACAGTTCAATAGCATCATTATGCCAGTGTTTCTAACACTATGATCAATGCGCGTCTTTACGACGCACTTGCATGCCCCCGGCCGGTGCCACTGAGTGCGAGCGAGGCGATCGAAGTAATCTCCTATGCTACTAAACAGAACTTCCCATTGGATAACGGCATAATTTGCTTCTTTGCTGGATTTAATATTGTTTCTATGCAAACATCTAGTCCATCGCATCTGACCCAGAGAGATGGAGGCAGCTGACCAAATAATCAACAGTCAATCAACGATACACGATGTTATGGGACTATGGTGATAATGGCGGAACACTATCGATTCATTGTCATTACATTTAACAGATTAGCTCGCATGCCTGGCTTAAGGGAAGGAGAAGACGGGAAGTCTCTATGAGAATGGCAATATATCAACATAAATCAGATCAATGTGGTGAAATATGCATGACAGATCGATGGCTGAGTTTCGACTTGATTGATTAACCTAGGGCAGTTAACTGTTAGCCAGACCAATATTATATAAGCCAGTAGTACTATTACTTAGCTTCTGCTGTAACTAAAATGACAAACTGTATAAACATAGCAAGTATGTTAACTATTTCTGGGTCTGTGTTATCATACATCCATATATATATATATATATATATATATATATATATATATATATATATATATATATATATATATATATATATATATATATACACACACCTGTCTGTCTAGCCACTCTTCTATTTATATATCAAAGCACGCGCATATACACACTCGTGCGTGCACACACTTAGGAATGCATATATTTACCCCTGCGAAGAAAAAACATCACAGTCTTACGTAGGAGTTGAATAATGGTCTCCATAGTGTTCTTAACCATTTGGCCGCTCAGTAGATATACATTATATTAGTCTCATAATCAACATCATCCTCCTCCCTATCGAGTGCCTTGCCGAGAGGCGTGAGCGACCATACCTCTCCACAACCAACGATCTCTATCATCAGATCATGTGTTGACACTCTTTCACAAGCTATGACAAACAACTCTTAAGAATCGTTTCGCGTTCTCTCTCTCTCTCTCTCTCTCTCTCTCTCTCTCTCTCTCTCTCTCTCTCTCTCTCTCTCTCTCTCTCTCTCTCTCTCTCTGCACACATTTTTCCAGTAGTCACAACACGTTTCACTGTATGACTTCTAAGAACACTTCCAATTAAATAACTGATGTTACAGTTAGATACAACTATAGAAGCCTTAAACGGATATCAGGTACAGTCCTTGGAAGAAAAAATCGCCGCCACCCACCGAGTGATCACCTATGATCGCTAAACTACGTAAAATACGCAACAATGAACACATGCAGCATAATGAATAAACCCTTCTGTCCCCAAGAACTTTGAATGCGCATTAAGAAACCTTAAGAAAATGAAGGCACCGGGACCTGATCGGATAACAAATGAAATGATAGTGCACTTGGGACCAGCTGTTAGGCAACGACTCTTAGACCTTATAAACCAATCCTGGGCCCAGAGACTACTTCCTAAGGAATGGAAGGAGGCAGAAATAGTTCCCATAGCCAAGAAAGGAAAACGAATTCAGTTACCGCCCCATAAGCTGCCTTGGAAAGACCATGGACAGATTAGTGAACAACAGGTTACTTAATTTCCTGGAAGAAAACAAGATATTGGATGACAGCCAATCAGGCTTCAGCAGAGACATAAGCACTGATGACCAAACCTCTTATCTCGCACAGGAAATTAAGATGCTTTCCAGAAAAAAAAATACAAACTGCTAGCTAGTTTTTTCGACCTGACCAAAGCCTTCGATAAGGTCTGGAAGAAAGGATTCTTGCTAAAACTAGCACAATGTGGGATAAAAGGACATATGTTTGCCTGGATTAGAGACTTCCTTTACAGACGCTGTGCGAGAGTCAGACTGTAAGATCACAAGAGCAAGCTGGTCAGGTTACAAGAAGGTGTCCCCCAGGGAGGAGTTATATCTCCTATCCTGTTTATTCTTTTCATCAGTGACCTCCCAAAACAGTTCACGACTCACATTCACAAGGCGCTACATGCAGATGACCTGGCCATATGGACTCAAGCTGAACATATAAGAACAACTAAAACAAGAATGCAGGAAGCTATAAATAGTTAAGAAATGGACAGACTCTTGGGGAGTCACAATAAATCAGACCAAAACAGTCTCAACTTTGTTCTCTCTTTCCACAAAGCCAGAACAGGTTGATCTGTACCTAGACGGCAACATCCTTCCAAAAGAGGATAACCCCACATATTTAGGAGTAAAATTTGACAAAAGGCTAACCTGCGGCCCCCACATTGAAGACACCCAAAGGAAAGCTACCCTGAGGCTCAGACTTATGAAGAAAGTTACTGGAACAAACTGGGGTGCAGATGCCAGCACTGTACGACAAGTATACACTGGACACGCACGACCAAAACATGGGATGGGAGCATACTCCACTGCAGCCAAATCAAACCTACAAAAACTGGATAAAATACAGAACACTGGTCTCAGAATCATCACTGGAGGTATGAGAAGCACACCAATTAATGAGCTGGAGGCAACCTGTGGCCTCCAGAGCTTGAGCTTTCGAAGGCAAGAAAAGGTGCTTACCCTAACATAAAAATTTAAACGCATGAACAACAACCCCATGCACAGAATAGCAAAAAACAAACAAACAAACAAAACGACTGAACTGAAAGGACAAAGCTTTCACCATCTATCGAAATTGTACTACACAAAAAACAGTGACATCCTTTCTAAAGATCCTTCAACATAGGAAATGATCCAAGCATACAGCATAGACCTACAGCCTAACTATACAGTCACAACAACAATTCCAGGCATAGACAGAAAGGCTGAAGAATGTGAACTTGTACTGCATGCAAAGACCCTTGAACATGTCTACAACTGTTACCCAAGACCCGAATGGACACACGTATACACTGATGGATCATTGGAGGGAGCAGACAAAAATGGAGGAGCTGAATCGACCATCATGCAGCAAGATGGGACCACAGGAGAAACATTATGCGCCTCCGGAAGACTCTCAACAAACTTTTGAGCAGAGCAGCAAGCAATTATTGATTCAGCCAAAGTGCTAGAGGAAAGAAAAATTAAAAACAGCAAAATTGTTTTCCTTTGTGACTGCATGTCAGTCCTTCAGGCGACTCAGGGGGATCAACGAGACAACATGGAGAGAGAACTGACCCATCAGCTTAACAGACTCACAGAAAACAATCAAATCGTTCTCCAGTGGATCCCGGCTCACTGCGGCATACCAGGAAATGAGTTAGCAGACAGACTTGCAAAAAATGAAACAAAGGAGAAACAACAAGCCTAATCATTGTCATTACCAGAAATCAGAACACTTATCAAAAGAAAATACAAGGGATTGTGGAGAGAACAAACTAACAGTAAAAATCCACAAGAACCCATCAGCAGACTCAACAGAAAGCAACATACAACAATTTTCCGTCTACGAACAGGACACTGCAGGCTCAACTATCACATGCATAAAATAAAGATTGTGCAGTCCCCACAGTGTGCCTGTCAAACAGGACCACAAACACCCCAGCATATTCTGCAGACCTGCCCACTGTACCTGCAACTTCGAAAAGACACCTGGCCTCAAGAGCAGAGTGTGCAGAGCAAGCTATGAGGAACCATGAAGGACCTGCTACTGACATGCGAGTTCATAGAGGCAACCCACCTGATGGTCTGATCTAAGCATACGAAACCGATCGCAAAGAAGAAGAAGAAAAAGAAGAAACATGAAGCAGATAGGGGCAATGATAAAGAGCCATGACACGAGCATCAGCCTACAGAGTGGCTCTCAACCTTCACAATGCCGCGACCCTTTAACAGAGTTTCTCATGTTGTGGCAACCCCCAACCATAAAATTATTGTCGTTACTTCAAAACTTCCATGAAGATGTGTTTTCCGATGGTCTTAGGCAACCCCTGTGAAAGTGTCTTCGATTTCAAAAAGGGATCGCGACCCACAGGGTGAGAACTGCTGGCCTACAAAAAAAAAAAAAGGGGGGGGGGGGGACGAAAGCGTTCATCACCAGCTGTTACCAGGTTGTTTGTCTATATCCGTCAGTTTACCTGCGGGGACGTAGCGACTGTTCCACGTAGACAGCAAGGCGTTAGGCCGATGAATAACTAACTGTATGCAAATTGGCAAACATTGATGACTAAGCCACAGTTTTGAACAGAAAGGGATACCAATCAGGAGAGCTCAAGGAGGTGGCTAGTTCTAATACAAAGTGGGGGAGATGCTAGAGGGTGTGTGGGTTATATTGATCGCTTTCAGATGACACCTAAAAACAAATTTACTTTCACTCTAACGGTCGACATCAGCAACATCATGTGCCATATATGAGAGGGACAGACAACTGGATCTCAAATACGTGGTTTCCCCGTGTGGGTTCCGGGACCCTATTTTCGGGAAAAGGGGGGGGGGGGAATTAGACGCACTGCTTCCTAACATACATGTCGTGAAAGTCGACTGATCGGGGGTGTTTCATTCGAAGCTGGAGCACAGCCGCCTAAAAGTCGAGAAACGACAACGGATGTCAATGCTAAACTAAAAAGTCCGGAACAACCAGAACTTTCGGCCGAAGATTACAGCTGGTGAGCGCGAAACGGAAGAAGAAGAAATCAGTGACTAAAATAAGACTATGAAGAGAAAGGAATAAATAGTCAAATGGTTTGGCCACAAGGGTACGACGGGAATGGAGCACCGACAGACCTGATCCGTGATTCTGGTGATCGCATAATCGCCTAAGCATATCGACACACGGCACATGAGGAAATATAAACCGCTCCAACCCTAATAAGCATCATACAGTCTTGACTAGAGGAAGAGAAGAGTTAGCAGAACTGCAAGAACAGGCACATTACTCACCTTCCTCCTAGAGATGGCCTCCTCGAGCCGGCACTGCCACTCTAGCGACTGCAGCCAGATCCCATGCCAGCGCCTCTCCAGGTTGAGGGCCACCAGCTGGGGAGACTCTCGTTCCCGCTCGTGCCGAGACGCCTGGGAATCGTGCTTGAGGCGGTCGCTCAACTTGAGAACAGCATTGACTATCTTGTTGTGGGATTCTATGTCACGCTGTAGCGCCTGTAGAAGACATACATTATTTGACATTAAAAAAAAAAAAAGTCTGCAGTGTGGTATACTCGTTATGTCACAGAAAGATCAGTAAATTAAAGCACTATTTCCACGTCACTGAGTGAACAATTGATAATTACGGTGTGAGGAGAATGGCGCTGCGAGGAGTTACCAGGGGATCTGGCTGACGCTCAACACTCAAGGGAAGGGCGAGACGGATATACAATCAGACAGTTACTGGTGCCATCGGAAAAGGATCTCTTTGTTTGCTGCTGAAGATGGAGACGGAGTGCTATGACGTCGATTCCTAATTCAACATTAAACATACCATTAACACATCGGACCAATTGCACTAGACTCATTTGTTTCATAACCATCGGCACTCGATAAGCTTTAGCTGTGGCGGTGCATTGCACCTGTAGACATGTTGTTCTTGTTTGTTCCTACCCTTCATAGCGCTGTGCGAGAATCGAAAATCTTTCTATGCTGACAGCTGTGTTCGGGTTGTTTTACATAATGAATTATTCTAAACAAAACTATCATGTTATGACTAACAGTATAGAGATATATATATATAAAACATGGGTCATGCAAGCGAAAAATGCTTTCAGACATGGACAGATAGATATACGCGCGGAGGGCAGAGTCATACTTTTTTTAACTACACAAAGGACGGCGAATAAAGGTTAAACGCAAGTCTTTCATTGATAACCGAAGGAATGGTTTAACTGTGCTTTTTAACCGGTTAAATATCGCGGGGGGGGGGGGGGGGACGGCCCCCGGGCGAATGGGAATCCATTTCTTGTTCACTGCATAAGAGATCATGAATTTTGTTTTTAAATAAAACTATAAAACTGACGTTGCGGCCTGAAAGCCTCTACCAGTACCTCAAAAACACGGACCATGATACAACTTTATTAAGAAGAAAAAAAAAAACCATTAAAAAAAGTAAAAAGAGAGCCAAGGAACTCCCCTAAAACTTATGGCCAATATATCACTGGCCTGTGTTTGATCATCATCCCGTTACATGCGTGTCGTTGGGTCACCAGTTTCTGTTGATTGTCTGATCAGCTCTCTCTCACCTGTGGCGGTCAGTTGCGATGGACTTCATGGCTGCATGCCTGATGCTTCTCCAGTCAGTCAGATTCTGTAACCAGGTCTGTCTTGGTCTGCTTTCTCCTCTTCTGAGCCCTACAGTATTGTTTTTTGAGAGACCGTTTGTCTGTGTTTAAATTTACAAAATCACACCGAAAGAAAGGGCCGGGGGAGAAAGGGGGTGGGGGCACAAGTATGACCACATAAATATTATAAAGAAACAGTTCGGAACGTTGTGTGATACAAAATTTAACAAGCAAAAAAATGTGACATAACACCCATATTTTAAAGAAACAGTTGGTAGCTCTGTGTCAAATAACTGTTACAGTAAAAAATAGGGTGTTTACTGCCGAATACTGCCTGCTTAAAACGTGAACAACAAACACCCCCAAGTCTGGATGTTTGCTGTGAATAACGGTCAGCACACAAAAGGACATGTGTTTAGAACCATCGCCCATGTTTAGTGAGCATAAACTGTGGTAGGAACACTGATCGTGTCAACAGGGAAAACAAAAACATAACTACTTGGACACTGTGTCCTGTTGGCAATATGTGCACGGGATTAGTCGGTGACCTCGGGGCAGGCCAGAGGAGATGTTTAATGATGGAAATGTTTGTGACCACGAAGGAAGTGGTAAACATCCCGTCTCCCAGAGAAGTGGTGGGCCCATGATACCGAAGAGCTTTAGCTATTCTATTCGTAAATATTATGAATAGGGGGGGGAGGGGGGGGGGGGGGGGGGGGGGGGGGGGGGGGGTTGTTGACATCAAGGGACACTTTTACAGGAGCGTCTGCCCAGCAGAAGGCAGATTGTGTTAATGAAACAAAATACATAAACATCATTTACTTTTTACATTTCATCTCTTCCTTAACACGGTTACTTATAAATTGTTTCTTCAAATTTGTCTTCAGACCTAACTGTACACAATTCACATTCGAATCTATTGTTTATAATTAAATACAGGCAGACACACATCCAGATTCGTAGGTAGTCTTGTTTAGAGAACAATGGGAGGCAGAAGATCACATCGAAGTCAGGTAATATCCACAACTCACGGAGTTGGATCAATAAAGTGCAACAGTAATATTACTGCTTCGACAATCTGTATCGACTGCTAGCGGGTCAACGGTTGCTCGCCACTTCAAAGCGAACCGTGTGCTGTATAGGTAGAATGATTCGCCGATCCATAATGTCTCTCGCCCGGGAGAGATTTGCAGTCATGTCGGCGAACTACTCCAAAGTTCTCCATGCTTCACGTAGCAACCAATCCAAAAAGGGAACATATTGAAATGCATGGCAACAGTCTGTGCGGGCTGAATCATACAGGACACTGTGTATTTGGTCCGGGCACTTTGATCATCGTTCCAACTGGTGTGTTATCTTTTTACGATAATGACAAGATGGTGCACCTGAAGCCAAAATAAAATGCCCAAGTGATAGGGATACGGATCCAAGATTACAAATACTAAAATTGTATATTGTAGGCAAGCACTTCAGACTACAGAACAAATCTTACCTTAGCCGACAGAACATACACCAGGGTACCTGAGCCTACAGAGCATATAGTAACTCGGACTACAGAAAATATCCTATTTCAGACTATTGAATATACAGTACCCACAGACTTATAGATTACACCGTACCTCAGACTATAAAAAGATCAGATGAACTCCATAGGGGAGCAGGCACAGATGGGGTTTACCAATCATCAGTAAAAGGGTCCCTCGCCGACAACTGTTTCGGCCCATTAACCTTCTATACAATCTAGGAGAGTGGGTCGACTAGTTCATGACGCCAGGCCTCGAACATTCCCCTGCTGTGCTATGTCGGACTTAAGGACACAGACGAAATGGTGGCTTTGCAACAGGTATCCTGAGGTTTGGTGTTATATTGTCGCTGCGGTAGCAAATTATATGACTACCTTTATGACCAAAGTGACAAGCTTACGGTTGGTTCATCGGACGGATATTGGACTTTAACAATTGACAGAGAGCCATTACTCGGACTCTTTGGCTTTTAGGGATGAAAAGTTTCTTTCCATTAGGGGCTCGGACCAGTCTTCCGAGGTCTATCCCCCATGACGTTCCGTTGCGTCCACGGCCAATTTGAAGCCCTTTCAGCAGCTTCATCCAATTTGATTTAGTGCCCATTTCCGTTCCTTTTCTCGCAAGCCCATGTGCTTCCCATGTACACAGTATGTGGAACGAACGAACGAACAAACTTTATTTTTAAAGGGTTAAGAATTGGGCACGCAGGCCCGTCTAACATTCTGCCCTTCGAGGTCTCCCTCTATTCTTACATCATTTCATTCACACATCAAGTAATATTAAAAGTTAGCAATAGCATCAAAATAATCAATACAAGCACTGGAATGTGCACATTTTTAACTACAGTAGAAGTGGAAGTAAGCCATCTTGCGCCTACCTTGACGGCGAAGGAGTTTTACTATAAACTATATCCTACCCCGGACTAAAGAACTTAAAGTAGCTTAAGACTAGAACATACAGTACTGCAGACTATAGAACAAACAGTACCTCAGGCTACAGAATATACTTTGCCATAATATGCAACAGCCCAGAAAGGTATATCCTTTGTCGGCAGGTGCAACACCTCTAAAAGCCACACCGTGGAAACGTGGAAGAATCCCGACAGACTGCAACTTATAGGGGCAACAATATTGTAGATATAGGCTGATTCTTGTAATCACATGACAGCATCATATGAACGAGCAACACATGAGAGAGAAGAAGAGACAAATGCAAAAGAAACAAGGAAGCTGGGTATACTGAAGAAATCCAGTGGTTTAGATGTAATTTAAATGGTAAACATGCAGAGTGATTCAAATGACATGTGGATGGAAGAACACGCCTTGTGACAGAAAACTCTTGATTTAGAAGAGGACACTGTGGTCTCGCAGCAAACAAAAACTTGAGTAAGCTATGATTACGAAGTAAACTGCAGTCCTTAACATAAGGGCTCAATATTACGTCATAGCATAAACATTACTTTCCATTTACTGCAGAGCTCACAAACTAGAAAACGTAATAAGTAGACGAACTCCCCTTGTGGGTTCCATGTCCTCATGGGTGGGAAGAGCCCTATGCAACACCCCCCCCCCCCCCCAACCTCTCCAATTTGGCCCCGGAATCCACACACGAAGTAAAAGGTGTTCCCTGAAATCATATGTATTGTGAACGAAAGGCACAGATACCGCAGACTAGCTGTAAATCACAAAACAGCGTGCCAGGCATCCTTTGAAGGGCGAAAGCAGGAGGGGAAAGGGAGAAGAACAAGGAGGAGGAGGAAGTAGATAAACAAACATTAGAAAAGTATACTTCTGATCTGATAAACGAAACATTCAAAAGGACATTTTCTATCATGTATTTTCATAAGATAGCCTTGTTACACAATGCCCAACAAGCGTCTGTTATTTTAAAGAAGGGAAACCAATAGCAGCCTTTGATAACTCCAACAGCACGATCAATGGCTTTAATACCACAGCCATGCAACAAATGGATGCTGTTCACTGTAGCCATGGGAACAGATAAACACTTCGCGTTATGGCTGATTTCGCCCTAGTTTGAGACTGTTCCTTTGTGACCATTTGTAAACAGCAAATACATTACTTCTAGGATTCGCATCCTGGAGGTATTAATTTTAGGGATTGTAATCCTGGAGCGGACAAACTGCAAGCAAGCATTTGGGCGACCCCCGGTTTGAATTCTCCGTAAGGTGCATCAGGGGCAACAGTAACAACGCAATTTGCATAGTCCGTGGCGACGCGGTCCTAAATCTTAAGCTTGGCATCCCTCCCCCTTCCCCAATATAACCTAAAACAAAAGTCAATACAGTAAAGACAGAGTTATATTTTACGTAGTTGCAATGCAACAATGAACAACGATGGCGACTGCA